ACAGCTCAACAAATTAACCAGGTGTGGGGGCCCAATAGTGCTAGAGAAAGCACTGTGCGGCAATGGCTCAACAAATTTCGTTCTGGAGATTTCAGCCTTGAAGATGAACCTCATAGCGGTCGACCTAAAGCAATATCTGACGAGGATTTTAGGGGGATTTTGGAGGCTGACCCATCCCAAACAGTTCGAGAGATAGCAGAAGAGCTAGGCCTTGGCAAATCCACTGAAGAGCTAGGCCTTGGCAAATCACTGTTGCAGATGGTCTGGAACGCATTGGGAAGGTGAAAAAACTCGACAATTGGGTGCCCCACAATCGGAGTGACCGGCAGGAATCGGCACGTCTCGAGGTTCCTTCTGCATTGCTTTTGCGCAGCAGAAACGACCTGTTTTTGGCCGAATTGTCACCTGTGATGAAAAATGGGTCATGTATGATAACAGGAGACGTTTCGGACAGTGGTTGGATGCCGGCGGACCTGAGGCAATTTCCAAAGCCGAATCCTCACGAAAAAAGATTCTGGTCACGGCTTGGTGGTCATCGGCTGGTGTGATCCACTATAACTTTTTATCACCAGGCCAAACCATCACAGCAGAACCCTACTGTGAAGAAATCGACGAATTGTACCGAAAATTTTGTCAGATGCAGCCAACACTTATCAAAAGAAAGGGTCCGATTCCTTTGCATGACAACGCCCGCCCACACGTTTCACAAATCACTATCCATAAATTGAACGAATTGGGGTTGAAGTTCTACCTCAACCGCCATATTCTTCAGACCTTTCGCCAACGACTATTGCTGGAAAATACTTCATCAATCAGGACCAGGCAAAAAAGCCTTAGTGGATTTCGTGAATTTTCGACCACCCAGTTTTTACTTTGATGGGATTTCTCGACTGCTGTCACATTGGCAAAAGTGTGCTGATTCGAATGGTGCCTATTTCGATTAAATCCGATGAGTATTAAAAAAGTTACGATCGTTTAAAGTGAAACACCCAAAACGCTGAGAACTTTCCGGACAACCTAATACATACAGTCTGAGCCGACCAAGGCATATTGATCGGACTCTGCATCAGTGTAATTGATGGAGGGAACTTCAAGGAAATCAGGAGTCAAGAGTCGGCCAAAAGATACCTCAGATCACCAAATCAACTAGAGTGGTCTCACTGCGTGCATACGAAAATCTTGTGCGCTTGGCACCTGTTTACCGCCGGCGTCAAAGCAGTTCGCAACAGCAGACCAACACAGCTCACGTGATTTTTGTATGCTCTGCAAGTGACGATCACGTGACCATTCCACAAACCAGGCTGCGAGTTTATAAAGATTTTGGTGAAAAAAGTAGTGGCGTCAAATTCGGCACCAAATGGCACCGAACGGCGCCATGGCTAGGAATGAATGTTACTTTCAAGATCAGGGCACCGATAAACCCCATTATGCAAGTTTATACAGATTTTTTGGCAAGGTCGTGTCGCCGAACTGGCGCTCAGTGGCGCCAAATTGGCACCTAATGGCGCCACGGCTAGAAATGAATGCCACTATCGTGAACAGGGCACTGAATAGCCCCAGTAAGCAAGTTTATACAGATGTTGTTGAGAAAAGTTGTGGCGCTGAGGTGTCGCCAAAGGCGCCAAATGGCGCCAAACGGCGCCGGCCAAAACCCAATGTCGTAGAATATGAGCATACCCTCGGATACAGCTCGGCGAGCTGATTCTAGCCATATATGGGTATCCATACAAAAAGTCAACAGGAACAGCTCTATAACGAAAAAAAAAAAAACGCGGATCGGCGTTTTTTTTCGTAATTTTTTGAACACTTACGGCGGGTACTGTTCGTGTGATGTAGGGTCCAGCCATTTCTTTTGGGGCAAAAGCCATTGTTTCAGAGCAAACTCATTGTTGCAGTGCATGTTTGTTGAAAAAAAATAAGCTCCTCAAAACCAAGTACAAAGTTTATGGTTAGATGCCTTCGAGTGCACAGACACCGTTTGAAAAAAATGCAAAAGAGCACGCACATCAAGGATCCAAACCCTCGACCGTACATTCGTGAGACCTACGATGTACAAATTCGGCCACGCATAAACCTCTAATTCGCATCGATAGGGAGTATGCTTCGCCTAAAGAGGAGAACCTACATGGTAACTTTGTTACGCTTGCGCCGTAAATTTGTTCTGGGAGGCCTACAGCAGATATGGAAGACGGTTGCGTAATCCCCGTCGCAAGGCCTCTAGTAGACATACATCCCGTTTCAAATGGCACTTCAACCTACCATCCTTCCCTTGTAGGATCTTCGAAGTGAAAGAATTTCACGAAATTAGTCTCAAAAGCACAGCATACCGTCCATTTCTGTATCCTGGGAGAAGTTGTCTTCGCGAACACTTATATTACATTCGCCTTGGGTGCTAAGGGAGTTGGATGAGGGAAACTGAAGAACACGTGACAGCACGGTTTGCTCTTCCGTTCGTGCGCACCCTTTTCGCGAGATAGTGATCACCTCCTCTGTTAAGACTAACCTTTGGTGAAGGAAAGAGCCATTATCCAAGCATCCAGAAAGCGAGATATCTTGTTTCGCCAAACGTCTTCGACTGCCCTGGCATACCACTCCACCCAAAAGCTGCTGGAGTCGGTCCTATGTACAAAAACCAAAACCACCAAAAACCCCTCCATTCTCCTTCAGGTGTATAAATCCTATGTTAGACCCTTAATCGAATACGGTACCGTAATATTCAATCCACATAGACGCAAGACCATCGACTTGATTGAAAATGTCCAGAATAGCTATACAAGGAAACTCATGATCAGAGTGGTTGGCTTTCTTTATGATGGCATACCTTCTGCCTCTACCAGAAATGCCAACTTTGGCCTCCGGCCTCTCAGTTGGCGTAGAAAAAAGTTTGACTTACTAATGTTTCATAAAATTCTCTACGGTCCTTCTGCTTTGCATCTTAACACGTTCTGTAATGCTAGGGCATCCGTTACACGGGGTAGTACCATTAAACTACTCCTTCATAGGACCAGGCTTAGTTGTCGTTCCAACTTCTTCATCAATCGAGTCTATTCGTGGTTTCTTGAGTTGAGCAAGAAGAAAAGTATTCCACCCAGTCTTTCAGCATTTAAAAAGTACCTCAGCCAATACCTAGAATCATGATGACTTCCGTTTCAACTCAATTCACTGATTTCCCCTCTAACATTTAGGCATTTGATTTTTTTTCATACATTCATGTTTTCTATCTGCTCACTGCGTGATGTTACCCTATGAGATGCCTCATGTTATATATATATATATATAGACCACCGTAAGTGTTCAAAAATTTACGAAAAAAACGCCGATCCGCGTTTTTTTCGTTTTTTCGTTATAGAGCTGTTCTTTTTGATTTTTTGTATGGATACCCATATATTATTAGAATCAGCTCGCCGAGCTCTATCCGAGGGTATGCTCATATTCTACGAAATTGGTTTTTTGCTGGCGCCATTTTGGCGCCACTTGGCGCCACTACTTTTCCCAACAAAGTCTGTATAAATTCGATTACTGGGGCTACTCAAAGCCCTGTTTACGAAAATGACATTCATTTCTCGCCGTGGCGCCATTTGGCGCCATTAGGTGCCAATTTCGCGCCACTTGCGCCACTTTGGCGACACGACTTTCTCAAAAAAATCTGTATAAACTTGCATAATGGGGTTTCTCGGTGCCCTGATCACAAATGTAACATCCATTCCAGGCCATGGCGCCGTTCTGTGCCATTTGGTGCCAATTTGGCTCCACTACTTTTTTCAGCAAAATCTTTGTAAACCCGCAGCCTGGTTTGTGGAATGGTCACGTGATCGTCTTTTGCAGAGCAAACATAAATCACGTGAGCTTGCGGCTATGGTGAGCGCAGAGCCGCCAGCGCCGCAAGCTCGTGATTTATATGTATGCTCTGCAAAAGACGAATCAGTGACCATCCCACAACCAGGCCTGCGGGATTTACAAGATTTTGCTTTTGAAAAAAGTAAGTGGAGCCAAATTCGCACCAAATGGCACAGAACGGCGATATGGCCTGGAAGTGGATGTTACATTTGTGATCAGGGCACCGAGAAACCCCATTATGCAAGTTTATACAGATTTTTTTGAGAAAGGTCGTGTCGCCAAAGTGGCGCAAGTGGCGCGAAATTGGCACCTAATGGCGCCAAATGGCGCCACGGCGAGAAATGAATGTCATTTTCGTAAACAGGGCTTTGAGTAGCCCCAGTAATCGAGTTTATACAGACTTTGTTGGGAAAAGTAGTGGCGCCAAGTGGCGCCAAAATGGCGCCAGCAAAAAACCAATTTCGTAGAATATGAGCATACCCTCGGATAGAGCTCGGCGAGCTGATTCTAATAATATATGGGTATCCATACAAAAAATCAAAAAGAACAGCTCTATAACGAAAAAACGAAAAAAACGCGGATCGGCGTTTTTTTCGTAAATTTTTGAACACTTACGGTGGGTACTGTACTTGCACTGGAGTCGAAACAGGCTTAGGTGCCGTCGCCTTAACGCGAGGGCCAGGCGGTTTCGTGCCATGCAAAAGTGACCTCCATGTTCACGAGGTCAAAATCGCTTTTCTAGCGAGTCTGGTTGGTTCTGGATATTTTTTGGCGCCGGCCACCCGATGCCTAGGTTTCCGACTCTTCGGCAGCCGATGGTCTTCGCGGGCCGAGCAAATCTGATATTTGTGTTCAGTGGGTCAACGTTCTGGAGACAATGTTTTTAGCCAAATCTGCCTTTGTAGAAAACGCTGATTAACAAAAAACTAGTTTGATTTCGGAAGATTTGGGCAATGAGGACAAACAGCGCCAGAAGGTTTAATAGTGCTTTGTGAACCGGATCATACCGTTTCAAACGATGTGTATTACCAATGTTCTAAAGAAGTAGTATTTTCGAAAGGAAAAATGAGCAAAAAAATTTCCTCAACCAATTTATTGATTATCCGGGACCGAGCTCTGAAAGGAAGCGTTACGTGCATCTTCCAAAATTAAGAGATATTGTGATGTTGTTCTTCTATAGAAGTTGTAGTGAGGCTGTAGTAATGACGAACTGGTTACAGGACAAATACCCACTGGTTAAAGACACTAAGATCATGCTTGGAGTGGTGTGGCCAGACCGTCACGTCGCTTTTCCTGACTTTTTTGACCCAACCAATGCCACACAGAACTGGTGGATTCAAGAATTTGCTACTTATCAGCAGCAGGTAGTCCAAACCTCTTTTGAATGAGAGTTCATTCTAGAAAATCATAATACTAACCACCAACAACTTGTCATCTAAGCGGGACTCTTTTCACTTTAGGTGCCTTACGACGGTATTTGGATCGATATGAACGAGCCGGCTAATTTTGGCACCAACGAAGCGAATCCGTGGTATTTTGGCAGTGAGGATCATCCAGACGATGAGCCGCTCATGTGTCCGATGAACAGCACAGACGGTCAATGGGATATGCCACCGTATAAAACACATGCCGTCTATAACTATGGGCAGGTTAGTACGACAGCAAAAGTCGCAGATCGGCTTAATGGGGCCAAATAGTACCGACCTGTAACTCAAAGCCACGCGTTCCTTCTTCTTGCAGCTACAGTAGTTGTTACAAGGCACTGTAAGTGAGACGCATGTACTTAATCATCAACTTAGCAATTAGCCAAAAAATACCCTCCCCCCTCTAGGCCGACGTCTAGAGTCTAGACGTCAGTCTAGACCAAATCTCAACAGATGTCAGTTTTAGGGAGCATACCTGGCCTCAAAAACATGTGCATGTTGGGCGTACAAGCAGATGGTAAGCAACGATTCTACAATCTCAAGAATCTCTACGGCTGGAGTGAGGCGAGAGCGACGCAACAGGCGCAACATGCAGCAACCGGAAAGAGAGGGGCTGTTATTTCTCGGTGAGGCAATCGTACGCCATTCTTTGCATGAGAATTCATTGAAGACTCGTTAAAATAAAAACAAATTTGTTTGACAGTGCAACTTTTAGCGGACAATCTTTATCCTTTCCTGGAAAAAAAAGATGGGGAACCCCCTGCTCTCCACTCCCTAAAGATCAGACTGTTCCATCTGCTTTTTTTTCAAAATAGTTCAGACTGAAAATTGACCCCGAGAACTAGTTTGGTTGACCTCGAGAAGTAGTTTGACTCTTATGGAGCGCCAATATAACATTCACTAGGGTGTTAAGGCAGTCAAGAATGTGAACGGTATGAGAGGGACACGAGCGTTTTCGCCGAGCTGCGCCCTTTTGTGCGCTGATCTGCCTGACAATGTTTTACAGCGAGACTGCCAGTAACCGGACCAAGGCCTTGTCTCAGACAATTGCTCGTCTAGTTCCGCTCAGACAAGAATCCGCCTGAAGTGCCGTCAAGGTGCCGGGTTCAGCGAAGTCGATGGTATAAGGCTTCATGCATAATTTTTTGCCCTGACTTCGAAATCTGGGGCAGTAAAAGGTCACTAGTAAGGGAAAGTCAAGTGAGGCACGACTTTTTATGTCTATTTCCATGCACGGAGGTGCTGACTGTAATAGTAGGCTCCACCTGTGGGCCGGGGGTGTCTGTTGTAGACAGAATCGTTTCCGATGCAAGCTGGTGGCGTGGCCTGCCCGACATCCTTACGGTGATGGAGGAGAATCGTCGCTTTCTGGCCGTTTGGATAGGGATATTGAAGGGACGGTGAAGACTGATATCACTGTGGGTCTTTAACATTTGCTCTGGTGTGTCATCTTTTACAGCAGCTTACAGGAAAACCTAACCATTCATCTATTAAATGCTGACGCTGACGGCTGCGCGAATCATGTGAGCCACATAAGCATAGGGACAATAACAGCCTTATCTTGGATTCTTTTTACTTTTGCTTATTCTGAAGTTGGGTTATGGATTCACCAACGATTTTTGTGCGTTGCTATCGAGAAAAATCGTTAAATTTTCGATTATTGATGAGAGCCGTTGCGAGGTGCGACGAACGTTGCGGATTTACACTGTAGTAAATCAACTGCTCCAAGTCGCAAAGCTATACGGCTAGAAAATGCACGTCCGTGAGCTGATGCGTCATTCGCCGCGCGACTCGCGTGCGGCTGGCGCTGCCCCGGATGATTCTGTTGCACTTCTCCCTGGGAGAAGGGAAAATATCGATTACGCTTCGCGTCGCACTCGAATCGTACAGAGTGTGCGTGAGAAGGGGGTCGAGGATGCAGAGCTTCGAGAGTCAGAGAGACGAGGGACTTCAATAGAAGTAATGGCTGAAACTGGAGTTTATGGGGGGATATCTGCCCTTGAGGGGAGGGGGACATAGAATACGATTTGCGAATTGATAGAAAAAAAATGAATAAATGAATGATCGGATGGTCCAAACAGAGTTCAGCTTAGCGTTTTCATCCCAGACATGGCTGATGACACAGACCCCGGTAAGCTCTGCTCGGTTTCCATGCTCAACTCTTTGAGTCATATGACTGTGATGTAGATGAGTACCTGTTGCGCAAGCATCGTCGAAAATCAGATGAGGGACAAAGGACATTTAAAAGGAGGACATTCACAACGAAAGATCGACGGATGGCTAGAAAGCCACACCAAGACATAGCAGCAATAGTCGCAGGCATATATAGCAGTAGAGTCACAAACCCCTCAGAATTCGCTAATGGCAAGAGTGTCGCTGGCATTGCCAAGCAGATCTATACAAACGTCAGCGTTCGTGTAATTCCCTTTTTGGCGCAATCTTCCGCTTTCCGCATGTGTAAGTGCGACTAGCGAGGGTGAACAATTAGATGCTGTTATATTGGCAAAAAACGTCTCCAGGGTAAGTCAAAAGTACATGAGCGATGTTATGTTTTCCAGGTCTACTTTCATCTCATCCGGCAGGTTTGCCGGCCACTGGCTGGGTGACAATACCGCAGAATGGCGAGACCTTCAAACGTCAGTCATTGGAGCGCAGGAGTTTAACATGTTTGGCATACCGTAAGTACACCTTTCCACTACAATGGCTAGTGGCTTTCTATGATGAAGTCACCATGTTGTTATAAAGGAAGTGGTACCCGCAAGGCAGTACAGGGTCCCTAGTACGAAAGAGATATTTGTGCCTTCAACAAAGCGCTTTTGGGGCCTCTTTCCAACTTAAGGTTGCCGATTGAAGCCTCCTAACCAAGGTGCAACACGCTGATCCAGACACTCATCGCAACCGCCCGCCGCGGACAGTCATATCGAAATTATTACTGTTATCACTTCATTTACGTAGTACAACTGATATGAAGTGTTTCTACAGGTACATATGCCTAAACTATCTATAGAGTTCCATCTATAAAAGCGCTTGTTGGCACGATGCCAACGGGGAACTTATTCAGGAACGCTCGTCCAATACTGTTCAGAACAAAGGCTTTTCCGCACGTCTCTGACCGTTTAACTTCATTTCCCCCACTATGTAGCACCTCTGCTACATTTTCGAGCAAGTACCAAATCACGCGCCTTATGCCTTCGAATTCTGAATGGAAGTAGAATGCGTGCCGCATCCCACAAAGGGATTCATCAACGGCGAAGACTTTATCCTTTCTGCCTTCGAAGAGTATGAAGAGAAAGGGAAATGAACAGAAGCGAGCGAAAAAGGTCCCTGTTCAATCCAGCAATGGATTACTGTGAACTTACAAGCAGTTTTTGAAAGTGTTCTCGCTGGCATCATACCAACAAAGAGTACGACGTAATGTACAGGTCATGTCCGCTGCAGATGCTTGGGCATGTCAGGGCAACTGTCTGAGAATGAGGACGACACGCCAAAGCCAGCCCCT